ACCCTCAGCTTCTCCCCAGTCTTCATCTGCTCCTGAATCACTGTCCTCCTCCTCCGTGTCCTCTCCTGGCCGGCAGACCCAGGCCCTCAGGAAGGAATTTGTCAGGGGGATCGGGGTAAGACCCCCGCCTGCCCCAGACACACTGTCTGCCGCCGCCTCCTCTCTGTCGCTTGCTACTGAGCTCTTCCTGGGTCCCTGCTGCAGGGGCCTCTGGGCTAGAACTGAGGAGAGTGGCCATGGGTCAGCTGCTCCTGCCTCAGCCTTCTGGCCCCTCTTCTTACACTGCTCTCCCGGACTACACTCCCAGGCCCTGGGGTGAGAGCCCGCAGAGCGGGGCGGAAAGGAGGCCTCCCCCCCGTCTTTATCTTCTGTCCTTCCTTCCTCTGTGACTCTACCCTCTTCCTCCACTGGACAATACACCCACGCTCTGGGCTTGGATCCTGGAACTAAGGCAGAAGTAGATGTTCCAGGAGCTTCTTTGTGTTCAGCTGCTCCATCTTCTGCCTCCTCTACCACCCCTGGACAACTGTCCCAGGGTGATGCCAGGGAGAACATGCTCCAAACTTTATCTTCAACAGCGCCTTCTTCCTGTGACTCCTCCTCCCCGAGGTCTTGCAGGGTTCTTGTCAGAAGCTTGGGAGGCAGAGGAGCAGGGTGGTCCGCTGTACAGTCACTTCCCCGGTCTCTCGGGTCACGGGCTGTTTTTTCCCTACCCCACTCAGCAGCAGCCTCTGAAAGTCCCAAGGTTTCAGGAAGGGAACCATTGGCTTCCAGATCTTGGAGGGCCCCCCTGGAAGTTTCTCCCTTCTCCTCAGCTGCTCGGATCTCCCCAGTCTCCCCTTGAGGGTGCCTGGCCCCAGCGCCATGGCAGGTGGCCAAAGAGGACTTAGCTTTTTCCTGATCTGCTCGAGTTACTGCTTCCAATAACCAGGACTCGAGAGGTCCTGGGCTTCTCAAGTGGCTCCAAGCCCAGCTGAACAGGCCCACCAGCGGGGACAGGAGGAAGGAGGGGTGGGCATCCCCCCAGGGGAGCCACTGCTGGGGCACTTGGCCCGGTGCCATCTTTCTGGGCTGGGGGAAAACAGGAGAAAAAGGAGTAAGCTTAGAAGCCATTTAGGGGACAGTGTCAGGGATGACCCTGAGTCATAACAAAAGAATAGTAACATGCACAGCCACGTGAGGCTCCCAGCTTCACATTCCTTTGACACCAGCCCCGCCCATCTCTGTCCCTCCACCTCCATCTCCCTCTCAACACTGGAGTCGGGGTTCCTAGTGTCCCCTTCCTCAGACCCAAGGCATCAGTCCTTTCTCCCCGCGGGCCTGAAGTCTCACTCCCAAGCAGTGAGAATACAACTTTTCTACTTGCTTCCTTTGAGAATAAAGCCCCAGTCCCTGATACCCTCATCTCCCTGAGGATTGGCAAATGACTGTCTCACCGCGGAGACGCCAACATTATGACCCCAAAAAACATTATGGTCCCAGATTCATTGGTGCCTGCCAGCACCTGGACCCCAGACCCTGCTCCATCACGTTCCTGTCTGAGCCCTGGAGCTCGTCCCAAACATGAGCTCAGGCTCCCCCAGCCCCCGAGCCCGCCCGCCGGGTCCAGTACCCAGAAGGCCGAGCCGCCGCCCGGCTACTGACTAGTCCCCAGCGCCCAGCGTCGCCGACGGCCGTGTCGCCCGCACTCACCGGTGGGGCTGCGAGTCACCCCGGGGGCGGGAGCGCCGGTTCGGGCTGCCACAAGCGATCGCAGGTGCGGAGGGCTCGCTGGGCCAGCGCGATCATCTCGCCTTCCGGCGTGGGCTCGTGTCTCCAGGTACCACCGGCTGCGGCAAGCGCGGTCGCGGCGAAGGGACGCGCGAAGGGACGCGAAGTCGTGTGGAAAACTACATGCGCTCAAGCAGGCGGTCAGCGGCGGCTGAGCGCTGACGTCGCGCGCTCCTTTTGTAGCCCAGCGCGGCCGGACGCGCAGACGCTATCGGGGGGGCGGGGTTTCGATACGTAGACGTGAGGAGGGGAAAGGAAAACAAAGTTGGAAATCTCGCGGACTTTCCGGGCATTGTGACGTCACGACGGGAGCGCGGCCACGCCCCGAAACCAGCGAGCTGTCAATCAAACGCGTTACCCGGAGATACCGACGCGGAGCGCTGCCTCGGCTGCTGGGAGGAAACGCCTTCCCTCCCGCGCGGGTTTAGCCGACGGGCCCCAGGCGCGGGTCTCCCACCTTCACATCCGGTCGGCTTCCTCCAGGCCGGGGGAGAGTATTTGGTTCCATTTCACAGATGAGAAACTGAGGCGCAGAATAAAGACTTGCCCGCGGGGGCGGGGGGGTTGGGGGAGGCGCAGCCTTTAGATTCCTGGCAAAAGGGAATGAACTTGTCAGCACCACGAGGGAGAGCCACTTGGCTTGTTCACGGCTTTTCTTTCAGGGCCTGACACATAGTAGGTGCTCATGAAATATATGGTGACTGGGTGTAACATCAAAAGCCTGCTGTAGGGTCCTCCCTGGTGGCGCGAGGGGTTACGTCTCAGCACTATGAAGCTGTCCGAAGCCTCTGCCACAGGAGTTGGATCCCGGCCAGGGAGTGACCCACAGGGCGCTGTCTCCCCCGCTGCTCCCCTCAGCAGTGAATTTCAGTCAATCTGCCTGTTCTGCTCCCCTCTCTGTCTTTGGGGAATCCTCTCACACAACCCCCGGACACACACTTCAGGCCATCACCCCAGTTCTTGTAAGCATAAATAAATAAATCTTTAAGAAAAAAACCCTGATTTTGTGATCCTGGATTTTATCCGCTTCAAACTTACACAAAAATTCCCCTACCAGGCTGAGCCTCCCTAGTGGCCTAGGGGTTAAGTCTCACCACCACAAAGCACAGCATTGGGTCAGGTCAGAGAGTGACCCCCAGGGCACAATATGCCTCTCCTGTCTCCCCGCAGCTCCCCTCAGCAGTATGTTTCAGTCGATCCACCTGTTCTGCTTCTCACTCTGTCTCTGGTGACTCCTCTCACCCCCTTCACCGCCCCCACCTCGGGCCTACACTCTGGGGGGTACAGTTGCATGCATGCATAAATAAAATAAAACTTTTAAAGAAATAAAATTAAAAAAAAAAAATTCCCCCCTGAGGGAAATGCACTGGACTATGGTGATGGCACATGGATGATTTCGTGATGGGAAACCCACGGGGATTACAACTGAGATGGAAAATGCACTAAAACGCACATAAAAATGATGTAAAAATAAACTATTATTTATTTTTTAAAAAATCCCCCCCCACCCCCATTACAAACTGAAACTGATCTGGTAGCAGCAGGTTAACCATAGGAGTGGGAAATCTCCTTGAAGTCCCAGGCCCAGGGACACAATCTCCTTGCCTGCTTCCTCCCGCCCTCTCCCATAATCTTGCTCCTCAAAACAGGTCCAGGAAACGTGTGTGAAGCTCTCTGCCTAGAACAGAGGGTGGAGATGTGCCAGGGCCGCCTGACCCCGCTTAGCCAGAGCCCAGAATCAGCGCCACTCCCTCTCCCCTGGAGGGTCCCGACCCAGCCATTCAAAGCCACGTTGCCAGCTGCTTCTGTCCCCTCCAAGCCCCACCAACTAGACTCACACCTCGGGTGTCATGTCTCCTAGCTCACACGGAGTCTGAGCTCTCATGGCTTCCAGGACCCCCAGTTCCCCGAAGCCAGTGTCCAGCTCCCTGCCAGGAATAGACCCCTGGGGTCCTGCCTTCAGGGCTAGGCTATTCTCCAAACGTTCAGGAATCCCAGCTTCAGCCCTGGGGCACCAGGAGGGACCAGCCCAGCCGAGACTCAGGAGTCAAGGGGCCCTTGGCCCCTCCCCTCAGCTGTGGGGGCAGCTGAGCCAGGGGTCAGGCTGTGGTGGGGAGGCCAAGGGGGCGGGGTCAGCCGGGATTGGGAGGGGAGGCAGCAGCGTGGGCGGCTGGCAGACCAGCAGAGAGGAAAGAGAAACTGGGAGAGGGAGGAAGAGGAGTGAGAGGGGAATCAGAGAGGAGCAAACAGCGGACGTGGTCGGGCAGAGAGAGAGGACGAGGCTGAGTGTGAGGGACTGACGGAGACAGACTCAAGAAGAGACTGGAGTCCCAGGGGAGTGGTTTGGCCAGAAATAGAAAGTCTGGGAAAGTGGCTGGAGGAGAGAGAATGAGTGAGAGGCTCTGGAAGAAACAGAGAAGAGAGTGAGAAAGGTGAGGCTGGAGACAGCCGAGGGGGAGAGGAAGAGAGACCAGCAGAGACTCGAGACTCAGACAAAACACGGTTATGCCAGGCAGGACCTAGGGCACCGGAGAGGGAGACTGGCTGCCCCCGGCCTCCTGTCCCTTGTCACCGAGACCCCAGAACTGGTAAGTTCCCAGGTGGGGCTGACAGGGCTCACCTGGGTGTGCGTTCTTGGCGCCCAGATAGTCTGGGGGTGCCTGTGGGAGGGCAGGAGACAGGTAACTGGGGAAGTGGGAAACAGGTAGGGAGTTAAGCAAAGGAGGGGGCTGTCAAATTCCTGGGGGGCAAGAATAAAGAGCCCCTATTCTCTGCCTTGGGCTGCAGACAGCTGCCCCCAGCCCCCGCAGCTGCCAGGGCCGCCCACCTCACTTGGCACAGCCCTTGGTATGTGGGCCCAGGCCAGGGCTCTCCCCAGCCCCCCAGTCCCCAAACAACAAGCTCTTTCTCCTCAGCCTCCTCCAGCCTCTGCACCCCGACCCGGCTCTGCCCCAGGGGTCAGCTGCACACATAGGCACACAGCTCTTTTCTTTCTCCCCAGGCCCTTGATGGAGGAGGCCAGACCCCGCAGCAGCCTCAGCCTGGCCAGCAGCGTCTCTACCCTTTCCTCCACCAGCAACCTGAGCACCAAGGTTCGCCTTTCGTGGGGGTGAGGGAGTGCGGGGCTGGGCGAGAGTGGGCGCTGGCTGGTGGCTCGCTGCCACCCAGGGGTGGGGGCTTGGCTGAGAAGAGCAAGTTTCCTTGGCCAGGGGTCTGCCTCGAGGTCTCCACTTGCCCACCAGCCGAGCTTGGAATTCAGCTAGGGGCACTCCCAAGTGACCCGCCCCTTGGATTTTCCCAAATCAGAGCCAGAGTAAGGAGTCTGCTTGACTCTGGTGGCTGAGATGAGGCCATTCCCCAGCCACGCACCCCCAATACCCCCTCCCAACGCAGAAATACGCCCACTCTGGATTGGAGACTCCTCTCTCCAGCCCTTTAATCTACTCAGTTCCTGGAATTTCATAAGGAAAATCCCTTCTCTGACAGATGGTGTCCATGAGGCCTGAGGTACTGGTACCCTGACTGGTCACCCCTCAGTAAGGGACACTCATGCCCTGACCTCCGCCTTCCCCTCACTCATGCTATCCCGACCTAGGTGCCGTCGCCCGGAAGGGCAGCTGTGGAGAATGGCTTTGGCCTGTGAGGTGCCCAGGCACACAGGAGAAGGATTTGAAGCCGTCTCTCCCTGGACATTGAGTGATCGCTAAGGGGTGTCTTTTGCAGCCCGATTCCAGCTGAGCTCTCCCCAGGCTCAGCCTGGTGGTCCCTCCTGTCGAAGGGGTCCTGCGGGGGGGCAGGTCCAGTCCAGCTCCCGCAGGCTGCGCAGCCCCTCCAGCTGGGGGTGGGGCGGGGGTGCCAGGCGCACCCTCTCCATCGTCTCCATCAGCCATGGCTGCTTCCCTGCTCCGGAACACCTGCGCCGCCCCTCGAGGGGCTCGTGCACAACAAACTCCGAGCTGCAGCCCCAGCTCCTCCCTGGGCTGGCTTCTGAGGACCACAGGCCTGCCTGCACCTTGCGCTGCCTCCCCGACTCACTCCAAGGTCACCTTCTCTTCTTGTCTCCTCAGAAAGCCACCCGGGCCGTGAGCAAGGTGCATGCCTTTGGGAAGAGGGGCAATGCGCTCAGAAGGGACCCCAACCTCCCCGTGCACATCCGAGGCTGGCTTCATAAGCAGGTGGGGTGAGGGGCAAAGGGCAGGGACACTGGCTGGAGGCCGTGGCCTGGACTGTCCCGTTTCTTTCCTCCCAAGTTTCCAAATAGGTTCCACTTTCGCATCACCACTTCTTCCTTTATTCCGTCATTGTTTCACTCATTCATTCGCCATCCCCTGAACACTGACAGCCTACCAAACCTTGGGGCACACTAAACAAAGGACTGCAGTCTCGCCCAGACACAAAGCGATGTTTCTGCCAGCGTCAGATGATGTGACGCTCCGGCTGGAGAGCCTAGACCCGCTGTGACATTTGCACAGTGACGCAGTCACCTAACACTGCATTACCCAGAATTATCCCCACCCATGAAGGGCCTGTGACAATACAGTTCATTCAAGATGGGGGTGCGGGGTGACGATACATTAGCGTATAAAGGGGACCCGATGACTGCAGATCGCAGAAAATGCCATGACGATAAAAACACAGGGACACCTTCCCAGGAGACAGAGGGGCCAAAGGCCAACGCCTGAAGTTTGGGGTGAGCCAAGGGGAGAATGGGTGCCGCAGGGCCGTGGTTCTCAGAGGGCGGTTCGGACCAGCAACATCAGCACCGCGTGGGACCTGACTAGCATGCCCTTGTCACGCCCACCCCAGGTCTGCCTACTCACATGATGCTACTCTGGAAGTGGGAGTTTGTGCTAAAAAAAGTCTCCCCGGTGATTCTCATGCAAATCAGTACTGCATGTGAGGAATCTGTGCTTTATTCTTATTTTTTAAAGATTTATTTATGCAGGCAAGAACTGGGGTACAGGCCAGAGTTGTTGGAGGGTGGTGAGAGGATTCACCAGAGACAGAGTGGGGAGCAGGACAGGCAGATCTACTGAATTCCACTGCTTAGGGGAGCAGCGGGGAGACAGGAAAGTTCTGCTACGCCCTGTGGGTCCCTCCCTGGCCGGGATCAAACTCCTGCTGCAGTGACCATGGACAGCTTCATAGTGCTGCTCCCCTCACCGACCAGGGAGACCTGTGTTTTAGTCTAAGTCTGGTGGTGAGCTCTCTTTGGAGAAAGCTCTCTTTGGCTCACGTGATCTGGTGTGATTTGAAAAGACTATGCAAGAGGGGTGACATGGGGTTCAGGGTGGTGGCTCAGTGCTCCTCCCTGGCCTCAGGCTCCAGCACGGGTGTTGCCGTACCTCCTCCCAGCTTTCCTGTAACTCCTGTTTCTGACAGAAGAGAAACCATGAATGTTCTAGTGGGGAAAAGACTTGTTCAAGGGCACGGTTTGAAAGTTGTGGAGCTGGGCACTCCCTGGTGGTGCAACTGGTTAAAGCTCAGCACTGCAAGCTGGCCCCAGACACTTCCGTGCAAGTTCGATCCCCCACCAGGGAGCTGACCCACATGGCACAGCAGACCTCTTCTGTCTCTGGCCCGCTGCTCCCCTCGGCAGTGCATTTCAGTCAATCCGCTTGTTCTATCCCCCACTATCTCTGGTGAATCCTCTCACGGCCCCTGCACCTCTGGCCAGTCCTGTATGCATCAATAAATAAATCTTTAAAAATAAAAAGGAAAGCTGTGGAGTTGGAATTTCACCACTAGACACTGGTCATGTTGACTGGCCCGAGCCTATGCTCAGCTACAACCCGGGCTTCCAGCTCCCCCTCTGATTACTACCTCAGCGCTAGGTCTGCTTCTCTCCTCTCTCCGACTCTGACCCCAGTGTTTGGTGACCTCACCCCTCCACTTAGACGGCCCCCACCCCCTCTCTCCCCAGGACAGTGCTGGGCTCCGGCTCTGGAAACGCCGCTGGTTCGTTCTCTCTGGCCATTGCCTCTTCTATTACAAGGGTCAGTGCCCCAGCTGGCATGGGGTGGGCGGCCTCTCCCTGTGCCCTAGCCTCCCAGCCTCCGGACCCCCGTGCCCTAACCGCAGCCCTCTTTTGCAGACAGCCGTGAAGAGAGCGTCCTGGGCAGCGTCCTGCTCCCCAGCTACAGTATCAGGCCGGATGGCCCCGGGGCCCCTCGCGGGCGGCGGTTCACCTTCACTGTGAGTCTGTCCAGCCTTCGGTGGCCGAGAGCACGAGGCCATGGGGGCAGGCCTTGGGTCCTGGGGGGTCGGCGCCTCCTCTGGAGAGGGGTCCCAGCTTTCTCTCCCGCAGGCCGAGCACCCGGGCATGCGCACCTACGTCCTGGCTGCGGACACGCTGGAGGACCTGCGGGGCTGGCTGCGGGCGCTGGGCCGCGCCTCCCGCGCCGAGGGGGACGACTGGTGGGTCTGGGGCCTGCCCCCGTGCGCCAACGGGCCGGTCCCCGCACCCCTAACTCCTCCCCCGAGGCCCCGCCTCTTCAGCATCCAGTCACCGCTCTTCCAGGCCAGTCTGGTGGCCGCTTTGCGCATCTCACCCTCCTCTCCCCGCTTGCGGACTCTGGAAGCTCCGCCCCCTCCTGGCCCGCGTGCACAGTCCGCACTCTGATTGGTTCTCGCGGAAGACTCCACCCCCTGGAGCTGTCACTCAATGTCCTGAAACTAGACCGTCTCAAGGGAATCTCCGTGCACCTGTTTTCAGGCAGGGGACACATTGCCTGGGGCACTGGGTCCAGCGACCTTGGTGGCCCTGCACAAGTCACTTCCACACGCAGGCCTCAGTTGCCCGGTTTGCAAAATGGGCACAATGCATCGACCTTTCTCTTCACGGGGCTGTCTCGCGTCCTCCTCTGTGACTCGAGGATAGTGTGTTATGAGGCTCCAAGGGGTGATGTCTTTTCCTGTGTTCACTTCCTAGTGGGCGGCCCAGGTCACCTGCACGTCCCCAGCCTGGGGAAGGCCCTGGTGGCCCCGGAGGCCCCCCAGAGGGGAGGAGAAGGGAAGAGGCGCGCCGGTCTGAATCACCGGAAGTAGCCCGGCTGTCCAGGGGCCGTGGCAGAACTGGGCTGCGCGCCCCCAGCCCCACAGCCGAACTCCAGTCTGGATCCCGGGTTCGGAGGGCCAGGAGCCCCGAGTGAGTTGGCCTGAAAGTCTGGGGCCACAGGGTTCCCTAGGGCTGTTTCAGAGGTTAAGAAGGGTGGGGACTGGGACTGGGACTGGGTGGGGGCTGGCTTAGAGACTTCTCACCTGAGTTGCTGGGGTTTTTGAGGGGCCAGAGGCTGTGGGATGACATCCTAAGGAGATGACTCTGGGAATCAACTGGGGATCTGGGCACTAGAAGGGGGTTCCCCTCCGGAGGGGCCGTAAGACACACTGAAGGAAGACACAGCCTTGAGTTGGCTTGGTGGGTAGGGGGTGCAGGGGCTCTAATTGACCCTGTTCACTGACTCTCACCTCCCCACAGCCTGTTCACCCCTCTCTCTTGCCCGCCCTCCCCTCTGAACCTCCCTCGGCCAAGTTCTGCTCCTGCTCGCAGACCACCTCCTTCCTCGGGAGACACAGCACCCCCAGCCAGGCCCCACACCCCCATGAGTCGCATCGATGTCCGGCCTCCCCTGGATCCTGGGCCCCAGCGCCAGACCCTCTCCCGTCCACCCACTCCCCGCCGAGGACCCGCCTCTGAGGCTGGAAGACCGCCCAGGAGTCCCCAACATTGGCGTCAGGAGGCCAGAACACAGGTGAGCAGAGAGCGACAAGGATGGGCACTGCCTTTCCCAGAGGGCACTCGACTGTCCATCAGGTCAGTTTCTAGGCTGCCCCCCTGAGTCACGGGAATTGTAGTTCACAGAAGCAGAGCTAGGTTCAGATTTGAAAGGAAGCATGGACCATATCTCCCATCTGGCGTCAGGAGACCGTCTTTTCAGGTTGGTCTCTAGCCACTACCCCTTAAGCTTTATGGAGACTGTAGTCCAGAACACTCCCTTCCAAGCCTATGCCTTTCGGGGTAGTGCAGGATTGCATATGCCTTAGGTATCGGTTTGTCTTTCCAAGTGGTCACTCTGAGCATCATGGGATTGTAGCCCAGAATAGCCATAGCCAACCACAAATGTGAGAGTGGATTGCTGTTCCCTTGGCCTGTGGCTGTTCTGCCTGTCGTGTCCACTTGCTACCATTCTCTGTGTTCCCAGCGGCACCCTAAGCTGGAGAGAAGGGGGTTGGGACAGTCAGGGGAATCCAGTCTGAACCTCAATTCTGGCCACAGCTGCCCTAGTTTTTGTCACGAAGACAAGTCGGCCTTTAAATCTCTCATCTCAATATTCCTTCCAGGCCCCCTCTGGCACCTCCACGTATCTGCAGCTTCCCCCAAGACCTCCGGGCACCCGGGCTTCCATGGTTTTATTGGTAGGTAACTTGGGGCATCATGAATCTGTGAGAGCTCCCCCGTGCCCCGTTTTTGTTTTTGTTTTTCAAAGATTTATTTATTTGTGCATACAGAACTGGGGTACAGGGCAGAGGCTCAGGGGTGGCGAGAGGCTTCCCCAGAGACAGAACAGGGGAGCAGAACAGGCAGAATAGGCAGATCGATGAAGTACCCTGTTGAGGGGAGCAGCGGGTGGGTCAGCAGAGGTCTGCCGCACCATGTGGTCACCTCCGGGGCAGGCGGGGGTCGAACTCATGCGGAAGTGGCTTTAGCTTCTCAGTGCTGGGCTTTAACTCGCTGCGCCATCAGGAAGGGCCCTTTTTTTTTTTTTTTTTTTTTTAATGGTGGATGTCATCCCTTGGGCTGGTGTGTGTAGGAAACACTGGCTATCTCAAGGTCCGGACACTTTCAGTGTTTCATTAAGGCTGCCACAGCTGGGTAGCAGAGAGAGGATCTTTCCATTCATTGAGATCACCTTCCAGATTAGTTTTTTTTTTAATCTTACAGGGTTTCAAGTGTGTTCTCCAGTAAGAGAACTCCTGAATGCCTGTTAGTTTTATAAATATTTGAATAATGGGCTGTTGGTGCCGTCATCCGGTCTTGTACCTGGTATCTTTGCTGAATTCTCTTCTTGGTTCTAGTCATGCTTCCATTTACAGGGTCTTTGGACCAATGAGCATCTCCTCTGTCAGCAATGATGGCTTTATTTTTGCATCCCTAACTTCATAGTTTTTTTTTCCTTTTCCTTATTTTTTTTAAAGTTTTTTTTTTTTAAGATTTATTTATTTAATCATACAGAACTGGGGTACAGGCCAGAGATGCGGAGGGTGAGAGGATTCACCAGAGACAGAGCGGGAAGCAGAACAGGCAGATCGACGAAGTACACTGCTGACAGGAGCAGCGGGCGGGTCAGGAGAGGTCTGCCACGCCATGTGGTCACCTCCGGGGCAGGCGGGGATCGAACTCATGCGGAAGTGGCTTTAGTTTCTCAGTGCAGTGCTTTAACCCGCTGCGCCAACAGGGAGGGCCCTCCTTTTCTTTATTTTTTAAGATTTATTTTTATTTACTTGTGCATACAAGAACTGGGGAGCAGACCAGAGATACAGGGATGAGAGGATCCACAAGAGACAGAGTGGTGAGCAGAACAGGTGGATCCACTGAAATCCACAGCTGAGGGCCGCATGCTGCACCCTGTGAGTCAGCTCCCTGCCCGGGGGCCGGGCCTGCTGCAGTGGCTGTGGGTAGCTTCATAGCGCTAAGACTTGACCCCTGAGCCACCAGGGAGGGCCTCTTTGCTTCCCTTTTCCTATTGTATAGCACTGGACCAGATCACTAATGCAATATTAAGCGGGAACAGGGCACCAGCGTTCTTGTTTCCTTCTCAGTCATAAAGCACGTGTCATCCCCCCCATTCATTGTAACATCTGCTGTGCTATTTGGCAACAGAGCCCACTGGGCCTTCCTTAAGCCACAAATGGGCAATTGGTCTACTGTGGTTCGCTAAAACTTGGAACGAAGCTACCAAGAAGAGTGTCCAGAGAAGCAAGGTGTGACTAGCACTGAACCACAGCAAGATCTGTGTGTCCATGTGACTCCCAACTTCTCTGCTTCTCCTTAGCCGGGTCCCCCGCTGGACTCACCCTTCCACCAAAGCTTGGAGACAGATGTAAGTCCCCCTGATGCAACTCCCAGAATTGAGACAAGAATGTTCTAGGCGGTGGGTGGAGGAGCTGGGTCTGGCCCATCACAAGCTCCTGTTTTCTTCCCTCCAGTCGCTGTTGAACAAGCTGTGTGGCCAGGATCGGCTCCTGAGGAGGCTGCAGGAGGAGATAGACCAGAGGCAGGAGGAGAAGGTGCAGGCTGCGGGGCAGGGGAGGGACCAGCGGCCCCCACCTGCCCTGCGTCCTGCCTGCTGCCCAAGGACACAGGACTTGTTCCTCGCCCTGGGGCTGGCCGTGGCCTCACAGCCTGACCGTCTGGTCCTGATGCAGGAGCAGCTAGAAGCAGCTCTGGAGTTGACCCGGCAGCAGATGGGCCAAGCAGCCAGGGAGGCCGCGATTCCCGGGAGGGCCTGGGGACGACAGCGTCTCCTGCAGGACCGACTGGTCAGCATCAGGGCTGCTCTCTGTCACCTGACCCAGGTGAGCGGCCCCAGGGTGCGAGCCTGGGGCAAGGGGGGGTCCAGGACTCTCCTGTTGTACCAAGGCGCTTGGCCCTAAAGGCTCATGAGAATACAGCGCTTGAGAATGTCCCTTCCCCTCAGTTGGAAGCCAGTGATCACGGCAGTTTCAGAGGGTGAGAGCAAGCAGAGGCGAAGAAATTTAATATAGTGGCTGAAGACCTAGAGTTTGACACAGGTTTCCTGGCTCCTATGAGTCACGTCTACTCACAGGAGCTGGTGACCTCAAGGAAGATGAGTCCTATGTGGTTTGGGGGTGTGTATGGAGGTGGGGGGATTTTTAAAAAAGATTATTTATGGGGTACAGGCCAGAGGTACAGGGGCCATGAAAGGATTCCCCAGAGACAGTGGGGAGCAGACAAGCAGATTGACAAAGCACACTGCTGAGGGGAGCAGCGGGGAGACAGGAGGGGTCTGCTGTGCCCTGTGGGTCACTCCCTGGCCGGGGATTGAACTTGTGCTTCAGAGGCTGCGACTGGCTTGTAGTGCTGTACTTTAGCCCACTGCGCCACCAGGGAGGGCCCTCAAAAGGAGATTCCTACTCTCCGGGATGCGTGGGGAGTTGTGGTCTTGACTCTCCCAAGGATTCGTCAGATGCGCAGGCTCTGCTGCCCCAGGGGAGTGCAGAGATAACCAGAGGACTCAGGGGAAATGGTATGTGCCCACACTAGCAGTCGGTTGGAAGGACAGGTTCCAAATGGACTTGGGGTCTCGCTAGTCTGCTCAAGGACATCCTCGGGAATTCTAGTCCACAGTCCCCCTCCCCCAGGGCACCAGGGCACCTCCCTGCCCCTCCTCAGCTGGGAAAGATGGGCTGGGGGAGGACTTGGCTGGCGGGCGTGCTAACCTGTGGCTCCTCTTCCCCGCCCAAGGAGAAAGAGCGGGTGTGGGACACGTACAGCGGCCTGGAGCAGGACCTGGGCACCTTGAGAGAGACCCTAGAGTACCTGCTGCACCTTGGGTCTCCCCAGGTACATCCCTGCCCGAAACCCGAGGCCCAGCAGCCCTTCCTCGGGCTCCAAGTTCTCACGGACACACTCTGGGCATCGCAGCCTCGGCCCCAGAACCCCACTTTATGAGATCGCTGTAAGCAGAAGGGTGCTCGGCAGATGCAGCTCCATGGAGGCTACTTGTAGCCCGAGCCCCCCACTTTTGTCTTTTAACTCAAGCCCCCATTGTAGTTAGGACCCAGCTTCACGTCCCCGCTCCAGATGGCTTCCCTTGCTTTGAAGGCCCGCCCTTGGGGTGCGACTCGGCTGTCAGCCTTCCGGGGCCTGCAAGTTCACGTCTTGCATTCTGCAGCCTGACGTTTGCTGTTAAATTTACCCTCTGGAATTTCCAGGTCCAGATCCAACCCCTTTGTTCAAGCCCCACGCCGGAAGTGTAAGCTCTGATGCGTAACCTCGAAACCTGGCATTTTAGTTTCTAAATCACGTATCATTAGCGAAGAAGCACTGGCTGCTGGTGTTAGCCGCCCACCCCAGCTTGAAGCCCCACACTAGCGATCTTTCTTCCTAAAGCCCACCTCTCAATTCAACGTGCTCAACTCAGTGCATCACAAGGTAGCTTTCTGACAGAAATACAAGTTCAGTTTAACTCTTGAAAACCTGTCCATGTATTTCACCACATTTTAACCCATACAGCAAAATAAAGGAGAAAACACATTCCAGTAAATGCAGGGAGAATCTTGGAAGAACTGATAAAAGCTCTCAGTCAAGTCAGACTCAAAGGAAACATCCTTAATCTGATGAGTCGTGTAGAAAAACACCTAGAATGTGCTTTAGAGTTGACAGTGTGATATCAAAAACCCTTCACATCAGGGTCTGTGAAACAAATCAAAGTTAATAGGGACCAGGGAGGACAAACTCAAGGCTTTGTTACAGATGATTTTGTAGACATAAAAAAAAAAGCCAAATTCATCTCCAGATAAACCACTAGAATAAACAAATTCAGCAAGGTCACTGAACGCAAGGAAAGATGTCAAAACCAGTTGTCTTCCTATATGCTGGCACCAAACAAACTACAAGAGGAATGTTTCTAAACCCTGTGTTTGTAATTAACACAGGTCTCACGTTCAGGGAGAAATCTAATGAGAGAAAGGCAAACCATCATCATCAGGAGACACAGACGCAGGTCATCATCCAGAGAAACAGGAGAGACACCACACTATGGCTAGAAAGACGGGGTGCTTTAAACACGTAGGATCCCCAGCCTGAGCGCTCCAGTGGGATGCAGGACCCCAAAACCAATCCAGGAGGTTTTCATGTGGACTGACAAACTGGCTGTTTCGAGAGTGCAAAAACAACAGGAACCAAAGCAACCCCCAAGACGAAACCTGACTCTGAAACTCCAGTTGCTTGACTCAAGATTCCACAAATGGACCAAAGCTCAGGCCAGGTGGTCAGTAAGAGACGCAGGCATTTCTGCGTCACCTTTCTCTGACAGAGGGGAGACAGCAGCAGCACAGAAGAGACCGTGTTTGTGAGGAACGAGGCCAGGGCAGCAGCATGCCCATGCAGACAGATCCCAGATGCAGCCCGACGACGCGCGTGGCCCGCACACCGATCTGTCGCTCCAGCCCAGCCGATTTCAGACCCTCTCTCTGACCTTGACTTTACGTGCGTCTTCCCGCCCGTGAGTAACTAATTCCTATCCTCCCCCAGGACAGAGCATCTGCTCAGCAGCAGCTGTGGATGGTGGAAGATACACTGGCAGGTTTGGGGGGTCCCCAGAAACCACCCACCCACACTGAGCCTGACTCCCCATCCCCTGCACTTCAAATTGAGGAGTCCTCAGAGAGGGAGGTAAGACTCACACCCTTCTCTCCCCCCCCCCCTTCTGCGCCATCTGCCTCTGCCCGACGACTCACCTTTTTCTTCCTTGACCAGCTAATCAGGCAAGTATCCTGAGCTCCAGAAGCTTCTGCTTTCTCATTTATTATACTGTGACCATAGCTGGCTCCCAACACCTCCCAAGAGCGTGGCCTGCATCTCTTCTTAACTGCATATTCAATGATGTCATGTGGGGAGCTTGCAATTGATCATGGCAGGACTGTGTATCCCATCAATACTGATACACGTGACAAACCTTTCTTTCTCCCAGAGAGATTTTAAAGAATTGAGGTAACATTATTTGACAGCCCTGTATAGGACGCTAGGTTATACTTTCTCACCATGCCCACCAGGAAATGTCCATTTAGCACCCATCAGCCTCTCTACCATTTTCCTCCTCTCTCCTTCCTCTTTTGACACCATTCTGTTGTCAGTATCTGAGGATTTAATTTTTATTCTTTTCTACCAGTTACTGAAATTATATAATGCCTGTCTTTTGCCATATTTCACTTACCATAATCCCCATAAGTTCCATCCATGTTATCATAAATGGCAAGGTTTCATCTTTTTTATGACTGAGTAATATTTCATTTTGTATTTGGACCACATTTTTAGCCTCTCAACCATCCTTGGGCACTTGAATGCTGTTATGAACACAGGAGTATATGTCTCTTTGAAAAGAGAATTTGTTAAACATTCACCAAACACTGATGATCATAACCCTAGGTTTTTATAAGCAGGAGACCCTGATACAGAGTAGGTCCTTGGGCAGTAGAAGCCACTACTGTTAATACTATATTAGAGCTGCTGCTTGCCCTGACCTTCAAGTGATGTATCCAGAACACCTCAGTTCATATCCCAGTTATGCAGTCTGAAATCCATCACTGACCTAGTTCTCTGAGCCTCAGTTTCCCCATACATAAGACAGAGCTAGTTATAGCTGCCTGATAGGTTCGTTGAGAGGCCTCAAGAAGATAATACACTGCGCTGAGCACAGTGCCTAATCATAACCTGTATAAAACCTTGCATTTCTGGGCCTCTCTGCTGGTCTAGGGGTTAAGCCTCAGCATTATCACACAGCCTGTGTTCAATCCCCAGCCAGGGAGGTGACCCACCGGGCACAGCAGACCTCTCCTGTCTTCCTGCTGCTCCCCTCAACAGTGGATTTCAGTAGATCCACTTGTTCTGCTCCCCACTCTGTCTCTGGTGAATCCTCTCACTGGCCACACCTCTGGACTGCACCCCAGTTCTGTAAGCATAAATAAATAAATCTTTTTAAAAATAATATAATTATTTTTACATCATTTTGTGCATTTTTCCATCTCAGTTGTAATCCCCATGGGCTTTCCATCACCAAATCACCCAATATATCTTTTTTTAAAGAAAAAAATGGCTGTAAGAAACCTGTAGAGTGCATATTGTTTTGAGTTCATGGTTTCAGAGTCTTCAGCGAGATCCCTAAGAGTGGGATTTCCAGGTCACACTATTTCCACTTTTAGTTATTTTTTATTTTAAGATTTATTTTACTTATTTATATATACAAGAACTGGGGTGTAGGCCAGAAGTGGGGGTGGAGGAAAGAGGTGAGAGCACTCACCAGAGACAGAGCAGGGAGCAGAACAGGTGGGTCTACTGAGATACACTGCTGAGAGGAGAGCGGGGAGACAGGAGAGGTCTGCTGCGCCCTGTGGGTCAGCTCCCTGGCTGGGGATCGAACTCGCACTAAAGCAGCTGCGGATAGTGCTGAGATTTAACCCCAAGACCACCAAGGAGCCCCCAGGTTTAGTTTTTAAGCTCAATCCAGATGGCCTTCCGAAGTGGCCGCACCAGTCACATCCCTACCAACAGGGGATAGGGTTCTTCTTTCTCCAAATCCTCTCCAGCCCTGGTTGTAGGAGGGTTTACAGTCTCCACCCTGCGTGCAGGCTACCTTAATTGTCAACTGCTTGAGAAATGCTAGCAATGATAGCGGTCATTATTGCCCTTTCTCAACCCTTGCAGAGCCTGCCCGAGTCTTTGGAACTGAGCTCGCCTAGGTCCCCTGAGGCTGACTGGGGACGGCCCCCTGGGGGCAACAGAGACCTGGCCAGTCCTCCCTCAGGTGAGTGTCCCGGGTTGCGTGAAACTTGCTTGGCTTGGCATTCCCTGCCTTCACCAAGTCCCCTTCTGCCTTCCAGGTCTTGGGTCTCCAAAAGTCTCTCGTGCCTCCAGCCCTGAGGGCCGCCGTCCCCCTTCTCCTCAGCCAGGAATCAAGGTAGGCAGGTGAACCCTTGATCTGGCCCCCCATGCATTTGTCACTCTTGGGGCAACAGTTGGGAAAGGGGAGTTCTAATGTCACCCCTCAGAGCAGGGAGAGCCAGATCTGTTAAGAGTATGAAGACCGGGTTTTGTTTCTGCCACTTCTGAGCTGTGTGACTTTGGCTCTGTTACTAAACCTCTCTGTTCTATTTTCTCGACTGCAAACTGGAGCAAATGGCAACATCTACCACCCCGAGCTGATGTGAGGGTTCAAACAAATACCCAAAAGGTCAAAAATGGTGCCTGGGGGAAAAAGTTACCTAGAATAGAGCAAGTACTTCCTTCATTTATCAGCCAATCATTCATTCAACCACTATTATTAAAAACCCACTTGGCTGTCTCATAATGGAGCCAGGAGCCATGCTGGCTTAAATACACTCAAGCAAACAAAAATTAAGAACTTTACCAAAGAATCAAGACTGAGGACTAGAGCCCAGGAACAGCCTCCAGAGAACTCTGAGGAAGCTGTCCAAATTCTGAGCTTCCCTGTGAGAATTTTATGCAAGGAAAACATTTTACATTTTCAAGGACTTTTACAGAGAAAGTTGGGGCTGGTGTCCAATTAACGCATCTTTCCCATGTTGTCTATGCCTGGAGGAAAACGAGGGTTATTACACTTACCCGTTAGCACTTTCTCTTCCGGGAGCCTGAACGGCGTTTTAGCAAGCCACCGCCCTTGAAGTCCTGCCCAGAGACACTGTTGTTGATGCAGCTTCTTCTGCAGCTTCTTCATCAGGCCGGTCCAGCTCTCCCTTTGCTCTCTGGCTCGCGCCCCTGTGGCTGAGACCAGGGAGAGGAGTGTGCTTTTTATCGTTCGCTTTAGTTTACAGCCACACATAGCTACATAACTTTAAATGAGTTAAAATGAAGTAAACGCACCTGCACTGGCCGCCTTTCAGGTGCTCAGAAGTCCCCTGTGGCCGGAAGCTGCCCAGCGGGACAATCCCCGTGCAACGCTTCCACCAACACAGAAAGTTCTAGTGTGTGGAGCTTCTTCTTCTTTAAAGATTTATTTATTTATGCAGACAAGAACTGGGGTGTGTAAGCCAGAGAAGAGGAGGTGAGAGGATTCCCCAGAGATAGAGTGGGGAGCAGAAGAGGCAGATTGACTGAATTGCACTGTTGAAGAGAGCAGCGGGGAGACAGGGGAGGTCTGCTGTGCCCTGTGGGTCACTCTCTGGCGGGGGGGGGGGGTCGAATTCATGCTACAGTGGCTGCCAATAGCTTTGTAGTGCTGAGACTTAACCCCTTGCACCACCAGGGAGGCCCGCGTGGAGCTTCATAAGCGCTGAGGCCACAAACATGAAAGATGAGGGTGGAACATCTTTCTGCTGTGAATCTGACATTCAAGACTCTAGAAGGAGACAGATAAACAATCAACTTACTACCCATTATTTGATACCTGACAAGTACAAAGGAAATAGAAACAGAACAGGGCAAAGGCACTTTGGGCTGCTCAGGGTGGAGTGGTCAGTGGTGTGGTCTGGGGGGCGTCATGGCAAAGTGATGCGCGAGCTGATAACTGCAGGAGAGGGGAGGGAGGCCGCCTTGGGGCCAGCTGGTGCAAGAGCATAAAGGCAAAGTGCACAGACTTTGCAAGCCCCTGAGGCAGGAGCTGCACGGGCTTTTTGGTGGAGCAGGTAGAAAGCCAGTGTGGCTGGAACCGAGGACGCCGGCAAGGGGCGCTAAGGGTGGAAATGAGGCGGATGGATCTTTGCAGAGCCCCGTGGTCCAGGGAAGGACTGGGGCTTTGACGGTGCTGGGAGACTCGGAGGGTCCGAGCCCACCCCCAACGGGAGCCGCGGCCCGTGGGAACGGGCGCCCTCTGGTGGCGGCGTGGGGAACAGCCCCAGGGAGCCCTGGAGGAGGCAGCGTGGGGGGCAGTAATCCTTGTTGGCACTAGCGGTGATGTTGCCAGCACGTCGATCTTCACACCTCATTCCAAAGCCACTGTAATTCAAAATGAGCAATGCTGCGGGTTCCAGCTAGGTAGTAGGGTGCCTAAGTTCCCTTGCCAGAAGCGAGGAGGCTGAATCCACTGCAGTGGAGGGGCGCCGGGGTTTGCCCGTGAAAGAATTCACCAGAGACTGTGTGGACAGTAGAGGAGACACATTCACTGCGTGACTGCGGAGCTGCAGGGACCAGGAGAAAGAGTTAGTCTGGCCACTGAAAGAAAAGTCTGGCTCTAAGATTGAAGGCCCAGATCCAGGTGGCTGCTGCCACTCAAGTGCGGGTGGGTTAGTGGTTGCATCTTTAAGGTTCACATCAGGGGCCATCGCCCTGAGTTGGGTCCCCATGTGGCCAGGGAGGCGTCCAAAGGGCGCTGCAGACCTCTCCTGCATCCCCGCTGCTCCCCTCAGCAGTTTATTTGAGTGGATCCGCCTGTTCTGCTCCCCACTCTGTCTCCGGTGAGTCCTCTCACCTCCACACCTCTGGCCTGTACCCCAGCTCTTCTATGCAAAATTAATAAAATTTACATCAACCTTTAGTGGCCACAGGTAACACTTCAGTCCCTTCAGTCCCTTCCCACGCCTGCCTGCGGGGCCTGGAAGAGACTGAGCTTTTAACCCTGTTAGCCCCAACACAGGCCGTGCACCACGTAAACCCTCTGGGGGTGTCTTGTGGAGCCTGCATCCCTAACACATTACAATCCCCCCGAAGTATAAATATTTCTATCAAATAGGATAAAAAGTATGCCTAACATTTCCATTTAACTGTGAAGTTAAAAAAAGAATATGAATGTATGGCAGTGTTCTCCATGCGTGAGTCAGAGGGGAGTAAAAATAGACTCAACCTGTTCACTCCTCTGGAAGAGGTTTGCCTGAGCATGAAGTCACAGGTGCAAGTGAAGCGGGTTCCTGGTGTCCACATGTGTAAATGCCCGAGGCCTCAGGGTAACGTGAGCTGCAGGCCTGTCTCTCTGGAGCGCGGTGGCTTTTCACGGCTGTTGATTTGTGTTTACCCGGTCAGGGACAAGGAGCGGTTCCTCTGGCACCTCTCCGCATCCTGTGCCTCCTTTGGAGAAGTGTCTGTTTTGCTCCCTGAGCTGTCTTTGCCTGGCTTCTTTGCTTTCTTGTTGAGTTGTGTGGGCTCCTCGTCGGTCTCGGCTACCAGCCCCTGTCCGGTGCATGACAGGCATCATTTTCCCCACTCAGTCGGGGCACCACCGTGTTTTAATCAAAACCATGCAGGTCCTAAACCTCACTCAATTTAATTTAAGCCAATGCGAAAAGCTTTGTGAACATGTTCTGGTTTCCTTGGGGTGAACAATTTCTTCTTTGATTTATGTCTTAATTAAAAGTAGCACTTTAAGTTCTTAAGGGGAGACGCCCATGATCAAGGCGTGGGCAGAACCCCCCTCCGGGACAAGGGCAAGACTGGAGTCATGAGGTCCAGGGGAGGGATCAAAGGGAGGCCGAGGCGGGGTCTCCAGGCATTTCTCCCTCCCAGGTGCCCCTGGCCCGGCCCCGGATGAGCGCCCAGGAGCAGCTGGAGAGGATGCGAAGAAACCAGGAGTGTGGGCGGCCTCTTCCTCGCCCAGCCTCCCCTGGGCGCCTCACCCTGGGGAGGACACTGTCCCCGGCCAGATGCCATCCTGACGTGGACCCAAGGGTGAGGGGAGCAGGCTGGGTGGGATGGTGGTGGGGTTCCTCTCTAAAATGGGCATGTGCCCAACCTCCTGGGTTTCCAGATTCACCTCACCCCAACTTCCACCTGTGCTGACATCAGCACCCTCCCTCCCCAGTGGAGGGGGAGGGGAGGGATAGAGGCAACTAACCTGCCTTCTCCCCGCAGGTGGGGGTCAGGGGTCTGGAGCAAGCAATGGGGAGTACCCCGAATCAAAGGAGATCAGAGTGTCTCATTGAGGTGGCTTCATTTTCCACCTTTTCAGGGAGTAATTAGACATGTCAGAGGTGGGATGATTTTACAGTGAGGTCTGGTTTTCTAGTTAGAGGGCATCTTGGTCAGTCAGTTGAATACAAAACTTTTATTTCTATGTCTAGTTAGTTTTGGGGGTGGAGCAGTCTAGCAGGTCAATTATGAGGTGAAGAATGTAAGTTTGGAGGGTCTGATTATAGTCTTGTCAGAGGTAAAGAGGGGAGACTTCCTCTCTGAATCTCACCTACATCATGTGGAAAAGAGGGACTCTCTGCAGTAAGACTTTTCCCGAAACACAAAAGGGGATACATAGGAGTGGGTGGGTGGTGTTTTTTTTTTTTTTTTTCAATCCATCACTGCTTTCCATGGGCTGAACCTTTGGGGTAATTTAACACTGTATCTTTGGGGCAATTTCATCCTCTCTGATCCCCCTCTTCTACATCCTTAAGATGAGAAAGTGGGGGCTTTCAGGGAAGGAATTCTAGCACCCCATTTCCTTCCAGCCTGCTGTAGGCCACTCAGGAGCCCAGAAATGGCTCAGAAGCTCGGGGTCCTGGAGCAGGTAAGCATCTGGAGGGGACTAGGGGAATCCATTTGCTAAAGCAGAGGGAAGTAACATTATTACTAATGTTCCTGAGTCCCGAAGTGTGCATTTTAGGGATATGCAGCTCCTGTGGCTGGTAACCACAAAGCCCTAGGTCCCTAGTGAGAACTGTAGTTCTCCAAAGCTGCTGAATTGTCAAACTCGACCCCCTGGGTCAGGAAACTGGGTAAAATTTACTGGCTAGTGAAGTGCACAAGGTAAAGCCCAGACTTTGATGAAGGCCACGCCTTTGAAAAAGTCCTGTAGAGACACGTGCTAGGGACTACAACTCCCAGAAGGACCCGCGCGGCACTCTGTCCCTTTCAGCAGTGGCTATTAGAACTCGTCCCCCAAATTTCTTTTTCTCCCCTAGTCCAAGGAACACCACCCCCTACTTGCCGACGTCCGAAGGTCATCGGGAGCGAGTGCTGAGCCTCTCTCATGCCCTGGCCACTGAGGCATCACAGTGGCACAAAATGATGACAGGTGAGGCAGGGCTGGGAACCGTGAGGTCCTGGCTTTCGGGAGGAGGGTGTCAGGGACCCGGGGTCCCACATCCTTTTGGGAGGAGCCTGGGAACCCGGTCTGTCTTGATGAGGAAAGCGCTAGACAGGACTTGGTTGTTGTAGGTCCTTGCAGGAGGGAACGGGGCCCGGGGTCTGGGAAAAGGCCTGGGGTCCCAAAGTTTGCCATTCTCACTCCCCACTTGCCTTCTCCAGCTGGGAATGTGGACTCCCGAGTGGACACGCTTCCTCCTGCGCCGCCGCCTGCGTCTGACCCCACGTCCCAGGTGACCGCGCCCCCAAGATCGCCCGCGACCGCCAATGCCCGCCCCACCGCGTTCTCGCGCGCAGGCAGTGGGCGTGGCGCGGCCCCCACCTCCTGGGAGACCACGTGGGCCTCGGGGCCCGCCCCTCCCGCCCTGACCCCAGACGAGGGGGCGTGGCCTCTGCGAGTCACTCTGCTGCAGTCCAGCTTCTGACCAGCCAATCGGAGTGTGAGGGCGTGGCCCGGAGGTACCACCTGGCGATCAGGATTCTGCCGGCGCTTTGGGGCCCCCCTCAGTGGCCAGCCGAGAAGGGGAGTGGTTGCTGTGAGCAAAGTTTGGTTTTCCCAACACTTGTCCAAATCTGGATTAAAACTTTGAACTTTTAGTCAATAGTCAGTCGTCTTTCTGTTTGGGGTTGTGACACAGGGGTCGAGCTGGAGTCCCGATTCCTGGGTCCCCAGGAAGGAAGGGACGGAATCTCGGATTTGGAGACCCCCAACCCCAGGTGACCTCGCCCCCAACGTCTTCTGCAATGGCCAATTCCTGAGAGAGGAGGCAGCCGAAGGTCTAGATCGCTGGGTCTGGGTGCGAAGGGGGACAGATGCCGTAAATCCCGAGTTGGGGGCCAGGCCTCCTGATCTGAAAGAGGGGGACGCTGGGGAGCTGGACTCCGGGGTCTGAGAGAGAAGGGCTTGAACAGGAGGGGCTGCGGATCTGGAGGCGCGGGTCAGAGGGAGAAGGGGCTGGGCGCCACTGGTCTCTAGACGCCCTGGCTACGCCCCCCCTAGGGCCGGGCTTCCCAGGACCCAGCCCCTATTTATGGCTCGACCCCGGGGCCTTCCCGGACTTCGGAGGGCGGAGAGGCCCAGCGGTAGTGGCAGAGAGCAACAGAGGACTAACGCTCCAGGGCAATGGCGACGCGCTATGCCGGGAAGGTGGTCGTGGTGACAGGGGGCGCGCGCGGCATCGGAGCCGGGATCGTGAGAGCCTTTGGTGAGAGCGGTCAGGTGCCCTGATACTGGAATCTAGAAACGGAGGGGCTCCGGGCGCTCAGAGAGATGGGGGAGGGGGACAGAAGAGTTTTGGGTGCTGGAGTCTCGATAGTTCTAACCGAGTCCAGTTTGCAATGCTAAGGAAGGAGCAGGTGGTGGGAACCAGACCTGGGCCTCCAGCAGTCTCTCTCTCTCTTTTAAGGATTTATTTATTTATGCACACAAGAACTGGGGCACAGCCACAGGTGTGGGGGTGAGAGGACTCACCAGAGACTGAGTAGGGAGCAGTACAGTCAGCTCCACTGAAATCCACTGCTGAGGGGTCAGTGGGGAGACTGGGGGGGTCTGCTGCACCCTGTGGGTCACTCCCTGACCAGGGGTCGAATGGACAGCCTCACAGAGCTGCGCTTTAACCCGCTGCGCCACCAGGGAGGGCCCTCTGGCAGTCTTTAGGCTGTTATTCCTGTTTTCTGGGTCCCCACTTATTACTGATCAATGGGTGCTTTGGGAGAATGTCACTTCCTGGTATTGGGTTTACTGGAACCCAGGGACAGGGCCCCACGGAACCCCCAAAGGCACCTGAAGTCACCAGCCAGAACCTGTGTTAAGGCCCTTGCTCTTTGTACCTGGCATCATCACAAGACTTTGAGGCAGCAGGGGAGCAAAAGAGGAGCAGGACCCACAAGAGGGCAGCAAAGCCCCGGGTCTGCAGGGTCACTTCTCTCCTGTCCTAGTGCAAAGCGGCGCCCAGGTGGTGATCTGCGACAAAAATGGTGAGTGGTGGCCCGGGGCCCTCTCCCCAACCCCCTCCCTAGGGTCCAGGCCCCACTCCCTCTCTCCCCCAGGGCCCAGGCCCCACTCCCCCTCTCCCCAGGGCCCAGGCCCTACTCCCCCTCTCCCCAGGGCCCAGGCCCCACTCCCGCTCTCCCCTGGGCCCTCCCCCCAGCCCCCCCTCTCCCCAGGGTCCAGGCCCCACTCCTTCTCTCCCTGCAGAGCTGGGGGGCCAGGCCCTGCAGCAGGAGCTCCCCGGAACTGTCTTTCTCCGCTGTGACGTGACCCAGGAGGAGGACGTGAGGGTGCGTGGCCGCTGCCCCATCTCGCTTCTCTCTTCTAGTAATTGGACTCTTTTGGCCTTGTGTGCGCCGTTCCCCCTACTTTTCCATGTCCCCTGGGCAGATTGTCCCTGTCCCAACGGATTCAGGCTAGTGTCCTTTTAAAGCTTTGCCTGATTCTAATGGCTGACCGACCCCATGTCTGCCCGGGAAAGCTTTTTGCTCCCACCCAGTTCTTCAAAGCTCTTATCACTCCTCAAGCAATGGGAACTAAGAAACCCTGCAAAGTAGGTCTGCTTCTGTGAGAATCTCCCCCTCCCCTCTGC